AATACACATATATATATATATATATATATATATAAACAATTTTACTTCTATACCTCTCAAACCACTCTTTCTCTTTTACTATACTTTTCTGCAAACTTCACTTTTTAAAATTGTTGAAAAGCTACTTTTATGATTATCACCACTCAAAAGCTACTTGGTCACTTTTACTTTATTTTTATTTTTAAATAATATATAAAGATACGGAGTTTTTTTTTTTTTTTTACATAGTAGGTAATTAAATAAAAGCAAGGGTTAGTAATTAAACATTCACTAGTTCATTTAGAAAATATACCTTTATCATGAATATATTAATTAAAATCGTCGGGGCAAACTTAAGTGTGAATGTGTTACTATATAAGAAAAGAAAACGTGGAAGAAAATGAGAAAGAAAAATGATTATTTAAGCTGATTTTAGGATACATACACAGAAGATTATCTTAATGGCACTGATGAGATGAGATTGCATAGGGTTAGAGATGAAATTAATAAGAAAGACACTAGAGGAAATTAAAAAGAATCTCATGTTAAACAATATTGAGATTTGATTGAAAGAATGGCGATTTTTAGATGTCAAATAACATTATTTTGGATGTGCAAATATTATTTTCCTAATTGACATCATGACATCTATTATATATGTAATTAACTTTCATCTAGTGGGATAAAATTATTGCTGTTATTGATATTATTTATAATTAGACGATCAATTTTCCTTAAACTAAAGCTTATTTATTAAATTATACGAAATGTATAAATTTGTCTTTTTTGTGATAGTTTAAATAACGTGACCATGGTTTCTGATAATTTCTATGTGATATAATAATAATAATAATAATAATAATAACTCAATTACGTGTCACGTGAAATTTGTCTTAATTAAGGAGTACAAATATATTTGCCTTGCTCCTTAATGAATAACTTGTTCATGTAATAACCAACGCAAATGCAGAGTCTTTTCTGTTTTTGTCCACTCCTTGTGTGAATTGTGGATGGCTTACACTTCATTCCCCCAACTTTAATAAATGAAAGGATCGAAGAAAACAAAAATGAAAAATGCTTTTTAGGCTTTTGGAAGCTTTAGCTTAATTTTAATCCGTACACGTGCAAAAGAAAGGGAGACTCAAACGTAGAAAATAATTAGGCAACAAATCACTTGATATTTCCACTTAATTACAGTAGTGGTTAATTTTATTGTTTGGATATTTTTTTACAACCCCATCGATTAGTACATGCAATTCTCTTTTGCAAAGTAGTAATTTCTTGGACACTGATCTAATGATTCTGTCTTCATAACATAAACTAGCAGTCAGAAGAAGGGAACAATATTGTTAAGTCCAAGAATACTTTGATTATTTCTTGTTTTAATTTTTCTCTAATGACAAATTCCTATCATGTTATAAAGAAAAATGGGACGAGAAATCTCCAAACCAACAACTAAGCCTTGTAAACCAATTAATGAAAGTGCATGAATCAGTTTTTGCTATAATCGATTTACAATTAAGAAAATACTCACTTTGCTTATACTCCTTAATCTGATTAATTTAAAAGTAAAAACAGTTGTTATTACATCTCTCTCTCTTCTTTTTTTTTTTACAAGTGATAGTATGATTTATTCTGTACGGGAAACAAAGTAGTGATCACTTCCAAACTCCAATTGCAAACTTCGTTAATTATTAGTTGTTTAATGATTTTTTACGTTTAAACCTGAAAATTTTAAATTAAATTCATCAAACGAGGTCCAAGAGAATAATATAAGAAAATTAAAAAACAATTGAAATTCCAAGTAGCATAAACCAAAGACTAGATTTATCTTTTAAATTTAATCTCCACTCAGGCTCACATTTTACCTTTTTTTTTTCTTTCTTAAATATGTTTTTGATGTTTAAAAATGTGATTTTTTTTTTCCCATTTCAATATCTATTTGGATTTAATTTATTCATTTTTAGTCATTTACGCTTAACAATAATAATAATAATGAATTTTTTAATCCCTCTTGCCTAAAATTAAAGCACGTGGATTAAAATTTTCCACGACTAAAAAATAGAATTAAATAAAAATAATTAAAAATTGATAATTGATTATGTTTAAGCTTTTTTCTTTAATTCCTTTTTTTTTTTTAATAAAACAGAAAGTGTACGAAACATCTATAATAATTCATATACAACAATATTTTCACATTATTATTTTTTTCTCTCCATTAATAAATATAATAAATAATGTGATGGTCCAATTTGTTATACAAATATGATTTTTTGAACTACAATTAGCCAATGATAGAAATTGAGAGCAGTATACAATTGATCTTACATTTGAACTATATGTAGTTATCCTAATTTCCACGTATATTATATGTTTGGATAAAAATTACAAAAGCAACTCTACAAATTTTAATGCTCACGAAACCTATGATCAGGATTTCCCATATGACCAAAACCTGACATGCTGATCTTCTCAAGACCCAAAGAAGAAAACTGTGTTTGAAATTTGGATTCCAGTTGAAAGTGAACCAAGGGTTGTACCAATTAATGACACACCCTTGTTGTTTGGGAATACCCATTTGAATGGTTGCAAACAGCAAACCAAACATCCAAAGTGTGTTTGGATTGCAGTTCCATCAGACGTAAATAACCTTATTATTGCCAATCCATAAGTATTGTTACTTCTTCGTTTTGTGTTTTGAAAATTACAAACTGGTGTTTGGTGCCTCTGAAACAGCAATCCAAACACACTAAAAGCCATGTAAAATGTGAAGGGTATAATAAGAGTTTATAACAGCTAGTAGTCTTATAATATGCAGCATACATGTGATTGAATATAGCTAGCTAGCCATAATATGGGTTACTAGTTGAAGGGTATGATATAATTGCCTTGCTCCTTAGGTAACTAGGTTATGTGTATAATAATAATTGCCTTGCTCCTTGGGGTAACTACTTAACGCAAATGCAGAAGAGCTTATCCTGTTTTTGTCTACTCCAATACAATATAGGAATTGTTGATGGCTTACACTTTATTCCCCCACACAATAATTGCAAGGAAGAAAACAAAACCGAAATGCTTTTTGGGTTTTGGAAGCTTTAGCTTACACGATCATTATTGGCATGTAACAAAGGAATTTTCAAAGGTCTTTTTAGGCAATAAGTCACATGATATTTTTCCTGTCAATTGCACTACTAGTTGATTAATTATATGATTATTTTTTTTTTGCATTTCTTTTACAACCCCATTGACTAAATATATTGCATTTCTTTTGTAAAGTAGTCATTTATTGGACATTGACATGATGACTATGTCTTCGATCATCACATTAGTGAGCGGCATGAAGAATGATATGTAGAAGAGAACAATGTCTTTTCAGTTTATTTATTATTATTTTTTCTCTCATAAGTCACAACATATTACTGTATCATGTTATTAACAACATACGATAAAAATACCAATCTCAACAATTAAGCTTAGGAAACTATCAAATTTAGGGTTTATTTAGGTAATATTTTTATAATCACTTATAGATTTTTTTTTAATAAATTAACTTATACATAAATTAATTTAATATTATAAAATACTTATTCCATTTTTTAGTAGTGCTTATAAAAAAAATTATCCAAATAAATTCATAAAACATTAAAGCACCTAATTTTCATCAAAGCAGAAGTGAGTGCCGAAATGAACAATTGCCACTTGCCACCCCAAAATCCATGTCCAGATTGAGAGTATGTGCATGGACTAATACACATTGTCTGCATTATCTCTTTAATGGTAGGGTTGGATCGATGATTCAAAATCCTTCAATTCTGACCACAGGCTAGGATCCAAATTGTGATCTGTAACATCACTTGATGTGTTTTCTTTGGGAAATTCTCGTTTTATAGTTAAGCTTGGTGAGTGGTGATCATGTACATTTGGTACCTTGGAGTCACGATCAGAATTCAGAAGATATGATTCCCAAGTAGTAGAATTTGTGGTCGAATGTGTAGCCTTGGGGGGTTTGGCATTGCATGTGTGCATGCCAATGTATGTAGTTTGGTACATATCAGGATTCTCTTCACACCGCTGCACCTGTTTGGTTGCTTTACAACCTTGATCATACTTGTGACTGCACCTCAAGTAACTCCTACAAATTAATTATTATTGAGAACAAAGGTGGGTTACATGATTAATCTTCAAACGAAAATTTGGTCTGGGGTAGATCATGAACAATATGAGTCCGTTAAATTCTTTGTTAGTTAGTACACTAAGGAAAAATTATCATGTAATAGCATATATTTTAAAGTGACACGGTATTTGTCACTAAAAATTACTTTTACTTGCACTATAAAAATAATATGTTGGAATATTATTGAAAAGTGTAGATATATAGATTATAATAACACATGATATATGTTGTTCAATCTTATTTAAAATTAACACTAAAATTGTATATAGTTATATGTCAAATACACTAAAAGAGATGTTATATATGGTGACATATAGAAAAATGTCACTATAGGTAGACTATATGTATATATGTAAGTATATATCTATTTGGCATATAGTTACACACAATTTTAGTGTTGATTTTGAATGAGATTTAATAACATATTTTGTATGTCACTATAGCATATATCCACACTTTTTAATAATATACTAATATGTATTATATTTATTATGTGGGTAAAAATAATTTTTAATAACATGTATTATGTCATAAGGTATGTATCACTATATGACAATTTTTTTGTAATAATAAATTTATACTTACATATATTTATTTATAATGATATTTTTTATATTACTAAATGTAATATTTTTTATAGTGATAATTATATATTTACCTATTATTTAGAAATTGAAATATATGTCAATGTCAAATCATTGGCGTAAATTTATTATATTTATATTATATTAATAGAAGAATTTATCATAAAATACCTAGCAAGTATAAAGAAAAGTCTTATCGTACACCAACTATATTCCACAGAAATGAATGTTGAATTCCAAAGGGATAACAAGAGAAAAATGTAGAAGTAGATGAGTATATGTTAAAGTGAATGTGTGGATATAAAGAAAAAAAAATACAGAATCAATGTATACAAGAAAATATTGATATCATACTTATCACAAAATAGACAGCAAAAAAAAGTTAGTTAATGTATTTGGATGCGTGGAGAGAAATGTCACTGAAAACACAGGTAAGGAAAATAGATTGCACAATTAGCTTTGAGAAAAAGAATAAAGGGTAGATATAGAAAAATATTAGAGGAAATATTATCAAAAAGAGATGTCACAATAAATAATATCTTTATTGATAAGTTGTTAGTTTGAGGGCATTAAATTTAGTCACTTTAAGTAAAATTTTGAACTCAAGTCTTATAGAAAAATATGATTAAAATGAAAGACCTCACTAAAAGTAATCGGTCAAAATTTTTGAAAAAAATTAATTATCAACCAAATTGATAAATATATTTCGTACTAATAATATGTTTACCAAATTAAAAATAGTAAATAATATCCTTAATTTTTAACTAAGTTCATTCAATGTCTCGATTATATTTGAATAAACTTTTTAATAAGCATCGATAAAATATATATATATATATA